CAATGGGTTCAGTTCCAGACAATTGATTTATTTTCAATTTCTAAACCCAAATGAATACAAAATGATTAATGAAGAAAATAACTGAAAAAATCCAAGTTACGTTTTTTCTGCAAAATATTTTCATTAATTTTCATTCATTATGCGTGAATTGTAATTCACATGTGTTCACAACATTTTGATATTTTATGCACACAGCAAATGTGCGTGTTAAATTAGCACTGCATGGTGTCTATATGGGTCCACACCATTCAGTATTACCTTTAAAACTTTCCAGTGTGCAGTAAGTGTTGTTTTTACAGTATTAATCTTTATTAACTCTAATAGTGTTCAATTTACACCATAGAGTAAGTCAATGAGTCTCCACCTCAACATATCTGCCCCATTTTAATATGCACACAAGTCATGAGGATCAGAAGAGCCAGCCCAGATTTACCCACCATCATGAGAAAGACTCTGACAAACATAGCCTTTTCTCTTTTTATGCAAGTTTTACTTCAGTTTAGTTTATATAATTAATAACCTGGTTCTTCAATGTTTCTGCCTTCTTCCTTGCTTCTATGCTTCTTCTTTGTTTTATGGGATTTCAGTCCTGCTTCTAGGAGCCTGATACGAACTGTCCTAGCAGTGCACCTCACACCTGCACTTAATGTTTCCCATTCCTTCTGAAGGTCACTTCATGTCATCCTATGATTCATGACAAACTTAGAATAAGTTAATAGTCATCTTTGGCATTAGAAAGTTGCTTCTGCCCTTTACCTGGCTGGTTTCTGATTGTTCCCAGTGTCTCCTGCTTCTCCTTATTCTTGTGTACTGCTGTCTTAGACATTTTGAACTTGAAAGCAACCTGCTGCTCAGCGTAGCCTTCAGCCAGCAGAACCAGGATCAAACCAGGATTTAAAAATGCAGAATTGTTTAATAATATAGAGTGGTCTCTTTTTTTCCCATGTGGCCGTATGTGTGTGTGTGTGTGTGTGTGTGTGTGTGAGAGAGACACTCCTTCGCTTTCAATCGGTTAAACTTGCAAATGTTTTTCCACCTTCTGAATGAATCCAGATTTTTTTTGAATAACAAGGAAATATGCAACGTGTGCATTCTGATTTACATACTGTATATAACTCTGTGTTCACCCAGAGGCATTCCAGAACATTCTGTTTATTATAGTAGGTGGTCTCACTGTCAGAGGCAGAAAGAGTCATTTTAACAGGGACAGAGAAACAGAAGGCAACCAGACTCACAGAGACCAGGTAATGGCAGATATTGTATTTTGTCACCATAATGCTTTTTAAGTATAGTTGTCCTATATTTTAATTCTAGTTCTTACACCTGTGATAGCTTCATACATTTCAAACATTTCTATTACTATATATAGAACATTCTTTTTTTGCAG